TGCTCCCACTCCAGACAGACGCAGGTTAAGATCCTCTCTGGTAAGCCAGCTCATGGGCTACACAGAATATTAGAAATGGGTTAGAACAATATGTAAGAGCTAGCCAATAAGAAACTGGACCTAGCCGGGCCAGGCAGTGTTTGAAAGAATACAGTTTCCATGTAATTATTTCTGGGTATAAACTAGCCATGCGGGCGGCTGGGTGCCGGGGACGCAGCCCCGCCGCTCCTATTTCAACAGCGTGGCATTGTTTGTGACTAACGCCTTCAGGTAGAGACGCCACATAGTAAAGAACTCTGACCTTGACGGCTGATTTCCACACTACAGTAACAGAACAAACAGAACACCTTCTGCTGCACTACAACAAATGACAACACACAGAAGGGTAGATGGACCCTTGGCGTGATGGGCTGAGAATGGCTTGTGCATGAATTATGGACCTCTGATGTGACGCAGGGCACGTCGTCATGTATATGGACTACATTTCCTTGAAGTGATGTAGTAAAGAACTCACGATCATGTATCCCTGATTGACACACAAGGACAAGTCATTATGCATAAGAACAAGATGTCCTTGAAGAGACATCGAATACATCTTCACGTGTGTGGATCATGTGTCCTTCACAGGACTCACTGAAGATACGGCACCATGTAGGGTACTGTTCCTTTAAATAAGGTGTTAAATCCAACTGATAAACAGTGTCTTGGTACTTTTACTCTTTCATCCAGAAGCTGACTGGTGTGTATGTGAGGGGTGGGGTTAGAAGTAAAGGAGCAAGCGGAACGTGTGGCTAGTACAAAGCACCCCAAAGTCTTCTCCACGGCTCAGTTCAGTGCCACAGGAAATTTTTCTCAGGTGGCTGCAGGATGTATCCAGTCAAGGTCTGAAAGGTGGATCCATGAAGCCATGACCCACTGAGGTTGGATGGCTGAGTGCATTATCACACATGCAGGCAATGCAGCCACTACAACTGAGGTGGAAGACTATCTTCCCAGATCCTGAAACAACCAAGTGGCATTTCAAGGAACTCTTGGGATTCAATGAAATGACTTCTTCTCCTCCAACTTTTCAGAGCCTCCTACACTCAGCCTTCACATCTAGAAATGTACTCATTGCTAAACGCTCACTGGGGACCTGGGGTCCATCCCCCACCTCTGTGACCTCCACTTATTGCTAAATGCTCACTGGGGACCTGGGGTCCATCCCCCACCTCTGTGACCTCCACTTATTGCTAAATGCTCACTGGGGAACCTGGGGTCCATCACCCACCTCTGTGACCTCCACCTTCACAGGTTCCTAGTACTTATTAGTCACCCATGAAATGAGCACAGATGACCACGATCCTGCTCCCAGGAGTAACTGTAACTAGCCCACCCCCACTGTCTGTATGAGTAGACTCTAGCTACAGGATAGCTTCTAAAATGAGCACATGATTAACAAGACACGTGAAGCCATGTGCTTCTGGGCAACTAGGGAAGCAGTGACCACATCCTCCAATGTGCAGCACGAGGCCATGAAAACCCAAACCTGCTGCAGGCATTAAGACTAGCTTAGGGGTCACAATGACACCAAACCAGAAGGCTTCGGAGAAAGGACAGCCTGAGCCCTGAGGGAGAATTAAAGGGACAAAGGTAGACAGGGAAAGCAAAAGCAGCCTCTCTTGGATGGCGTCTTCTTGTTTCCAGGAGACACTGTGCAAAGAGACATCAGGCAGAGGGAAGACTCTCAACAGAACCACTAAGGGAAAGGTGAGGACGGGGATGGGGGGCTATTAAAATACCCACTGCAGTGGGTCCCCTCAGCCCTTCCTTCAGTAAAGCTGTTGCTTTCCCTCTCTCATGTCTGGGTCTTCTGTCTCTCCTAGACAGTCAACTATTTCTTCACGCCATGGAATGCCCCATTATCCCCTAGAATACCAGCATTCCTGGTTCACGACCAGAGTGACCACAGAACCCATCCCACCTTTGGATGCTACCCAACTCAACTGCTGTTAAATCCACTTGAGTTTTCTCTTATGACCATAAGGAGCCTGACTTTTGTTTTCTTTGTCAACTTGTGTCAACTTGATTTGTGGAGTTTTTGGCTAAATGCATTAACATTTGTTTCTTCTCACTGAAAGTCCAAATTCTCAACAGAACTGCATGTGTAAGACTGATGGCTTCGTTCCATTTGTTCTTCTCTTGGTTAGTATAGGCCGCGAGGTTCTCGGTGTACTGCAGAATCAACTTTAAGAACCTGTTGGAAAGACAGTACGGAATTTTAGTTTCTTTGTCTGTGCTGTTATAAAACATAGCAGCATACATGTCTTCTCTTGGAAATAATTGTGTGTGGATTCAAGAAGAAATGCATGCAAAATGAAAATAAGAGAAACTAGAGAAAACAAAAATGCGGAGGCCGATGCTGTCAGCTGGGATGAGCTGCGAGTCCCAGACTCTTCTCACGCTCTCAGATCTTGACATGATGTTTCTCAGAGATGGGACAGAATTCCAAAGACTCCAGGGCCATCGGGCTCAGACTGAGACATGACAGACACACAGCAAGAGAAGGACCCACAAGTCTCTCTGGGTGCTAACGTGGCATCATGGCTCTCTTCCCCTGTGCTGCCGTGTCTCTCTGAAGAGAAACACTGGTACTGTGCCACCGTTGAAAACAGTTTCCTTAAAGATATCCCAGCTGACTAGGATAAGCATCATTTTTACATTTTCAGACTCCCCTCAGTTTCCTGAGCAGTGGAGACTTTCCCATAATTATTTATATAATTTTTATAAATATGTCAAATGAATCGTACAGCGAAACCCACAGAGCCTTGGTCTAGGGATAGGCTCCTCTCCTGGGGACTCTGTGATGCCACTGGGAGAGTGCTGCCAGCATGTGGCCAGATGCCACGGATGACACGCAGCACCACGCAGCACACAGAGGCTACAGATCACGTCAGTGGTGTAAGGCTGAGTCCCCAACGTCGCCAGCCTTGCACACTGCTTTCCGAGCGTGCTATCTACACTTGCCTCAGCTCTGTTCACCTACGCACATCCTGGTTTCATTTTTGCTGCTGTGATAAGACCACCTTATAAAAATCAGCTTAGGGGAAGAAGGGCTCATCCGGCTTAGAAGTCCAGGTTACGGTCTATCATTGCAGGGAGGCACAGTGGCAGGAGCCTGAGATGTGGCCAGACTGCATCCAAAGTCAAGATCAGAGAGAAACAGATGCACCCCCGCTGCCTGTTTAGTGCTCAGGTAGCCCCCCTCCTTCAACGGTCCAGGGTCCAGGGAACGGTGCCATCTACAACGGGCTACAATGGGTTATAATGGGCTACAACGGTCTGTGCTCTTCGACATCAACTAACAATCAAGACAATTCCTACAAACATGCCCACAGGCCAATCTGATCTAAAACATTCTTCAGCTGAAACTTGCACCTCCAGGTTGGGTCAAGCGGGCAACTGAAACACCAGTGCAGGCCAGGAAGATGGTCCAACAGGTAGGACACTCACCAAGCAAGTCTGCTGGCCTGAGTTCAATCAGGAGCTCACATAAGGTGGAAGAAAAGACCATACCACACAAAGTCCTCTTCTGACTTTCACAACTCCCCCCTCAACCCTCCTCCCCCAAAGTAATTGAAAAAATACTTTTTAGGGGTATCTAAAAATCTAGACATGGTGGCTGGCATATGCCCTTAACATCAACGCCCGGAAAGCAGAGGCAGGCTGACCTTCGTGAGTTTAAGGCTAGCCTGGACTACATAGTGAGTTCTAGGCCAGTCAAGATTACATAATGAGACTCTGTCTAAAGCACACACACACACACACACACACACACCACATACCACTCCCCACATATACCCTCCACGCCACACACACATAGACACACCCAAACATCCCCACATCACTGTAATCCATAATACATAAGGATTCCTACCCCTTGCCAAGTACAGCATAAAGCCAGCTAAGGTATGAAAAACTTATGGGCATGGATGGAGGCTACGTCACACAGTTACAGACAACTGACCACAGGATACCATCTGAACTAAGGAGTCTGGTGAGCTCTGGGACCTCTGCATGTGTAGTGGGTGCTGCAGAAAGGTAGACTCCTTAAGTCGACACCGTTAGCGATACACAACTGAAGTGACCGTGAGTCACCTGGATGTGCGGGGTCTGCCTTAGGGCTCTGACTTTAGGTCACACTTCAGGGTCCTCCTCCAAGACCATCCCTACAGTCTTAACTCAGCTTGCACGTGGGCACCAAACTGTGGACTGGCGAGTTCTGAGAGGGTTCCCAGGTGAACTGGGTTCAGTTTTGTGAAATGTGCCTTTAAGGAAGCAGCTTCAAATGTCCACAAACTCAGCATCGCATCGTATGGAGAAGACTTAGCAGGAGAAACTGGGGTTAAAAACATCACCAGGGAATAGCCAGGAGGAGTCAACACTTCTCAAAGTCGCCCAAGCACTGTCTCCTTCCTTCTGAGCAGGTCACCTTACCTGAGATAGTGCTGACGCTCCGGAGTGCTTTTACCAAGGACAGCATGAACGCTGACCAACTCCAGCGCAAGGAGCAACAAAACCAGGTAAAGCCCAGCAGACAGAAGTCTAACACTAGAAAGGAGGAAGCAGAGTTAGGGTGCAGCCAGTCCTCTCTCTCCATTTTCATAGGGAAACAGCACGTCACCTAATCAACAGCTTTTTTAATTAAAAAATTTATATATTTTGATCATGATTTTGCCCTTTTTCCGACTCCTCCCAGATCCTCCCCATCTTCCAACACACCCAACTTTGTCTGTAAGTGTGCCCTCTCTTTCAACACACACACACAATACATACACACACACACACACAATATATACACACACACAATACATACACACACAATATATACACACACACAATATATACACACACACAATACACACACAATACACACACAATACACATACACACAATACACACACAATACATACACACACACAATACACACACAATACACACACACACAATACACACACAGAACAAAATGAAAATCGAAACAAACAACAACCACAACAAAAACAGACAAAATGAGAAGGAAAAAAAGGCAGCAACGAAGCAAAAAGCATGTAGTTTGTTTTGCCAACACCTTTAAAAAGTATCCCTAAATCCAAATATCTTGGAAGGTCTGCCCTGCCCTGCCCTGCCCTGCTGTGCCCGGCCCTGCTCCTCCTTGCCCTTCACATCCAGGTCACAAAGTGCTTCTACTCCCTGGCACCAGCAACTTCTCTGCGTCTGGCTCAGTCTCAGCCGCCTCCAAGAACACTCACAGGTCAGCCCCAAGGGCTGCACTGGGTCCCCTGCTCTGTGTCCACTTGCACCAAGAGGAGAAATGTGCTCTAACTTCGCCAGATTCCAAGAAATTCCTGTGAAAGCCCGACCTGATTGTGCCCATGAGACCAGCAGAGGTAATTAAAACCAGTGCACCCCATTGTAGCACTTCTGTATAAACTACCTGAGTGCACACTGAGAAACTTCTGGAAGGCAGTGCCTTCTAGAATAAGCAAGTGTTCTGCTAGGCCTACGAAACACCCCACCATTTAACCCAAAGTTCTAGAAATGTGTTCAGAACAGCTATTTCTCAAGGAAATGTGCAGACCTATAGTGCTGGCCAATCCAGAGAACATGCTCTTGGGCTTAAGTCCACACAGTCGCTTGGGTGGTGGGATCCACTCCCACAGGTAAAATTTAAAATTTCTATAAAACATATATACCATAACTATTCTCTGGCAGCTTGAGTAGAGGGTGCTGAGGAGGGGAGGGGCCTACCTGTTAAGCATGCGCAGATAGTTCTGACGCTGCCTCGAGCGCAGCCTGCGCTCCACCCACTGCCTGTGTCTCAGCTGCAAAGAGGCAATGACCTGGGCAGACACACGCTGGCATTGGGAGCTGATGCCTCGGAGCACAACCACAACTTCTAGGACGAGCCTGGGGCAGAAGAGGGTAGGAATGCGCGTGCTGCAGAGCTCCTGGAGCAGCTGGGGCCACCTGCAGGGAGAGTGCTGCAATCAGGCACACACACAACACCAGGGGGCGCCACTGCCATCTCACCTGCAGGGAGAGCGCAGCAATCAGGACACAACACCAGGGGGCGCCACTGCCGTCTCAAGTGCAGGGAGAGCGTAACCATCAGGGGACACAACACCAGGGGGCACCACTGCCATCTCTTTTCCTGAACCTGTGTTGGTCTGGGTCTGCTGGTACAAGTGGGACCTCAGCAAGTGACAGGTAGGTAAAATGCAGCTGCTGTGAACAGATGACCTCACTACACATGGTGACTTCACTAGACACTGGCACTTGCACAGAGATCACCTAACCTCACTTGAGGACCTCTTCTGGGACACAATACCAAGCTGCTGAAGTTCAGAGTGGAAACAGGAAGTCTCGTCTGCTACCATAAACTACCAGTATGGTTCCTCAGTACTCACCTCTCGGGGAGAAGACCATCCGAGCCACCTACAGCACAGATACTCCCAGGCACATGGCGGCAGAGCTCACACAGAATCTTGCTAATTAAGGAGTTGCAGGCATGTGCTTCAGAATTATCTTCTAATCTAAAGAACACACGATATTTAAAGGTATATGCCAATGATTAAACCTCCCCCATTATTGATAATATAAAATGATGTTTACTGCACAGTGGACGTGATCTACACAAAATGAAAACCGGCATCATGAGAAGACAACACGAGTGACACGAGGGCTGAGAGCAGGCACTGTGCAGAGGTGAGCTGTGGCCGCCCCATTAGTCCAGTGCTAGTGTCCGCAGTCCCCAAACCCGTGTCCCTACTCCTCCTCCTCCCCCTCCCCCTCCCCCCTCCTCCTCCCCCTCCTCCCTCTCCCCCCCTCCT